TCTATTCTAGACAAGGAAGGCACCATGAGGCTCTGCATATGTATAATAAGTCACTCAGTATTATTCTACCAGCCTTAGGCGTAAATCATCCCGAAGTTGGAAAAAAACGAAAAACAATATGGCCATTACTCCCCGGGTGCAACGATCACAGTATAATCAGTCAACGTCAATGGCGAAAAGAGGGAAAGATAATCATGATGTTAATCAACACGTCCAAGATATAGCTTCGTCAATCGACAACAGCATTTTAATATACTAGTATTCAAGACTACCATAAATACAGTCCTATATCATAACAACCATATTCTGTACTTTTTTATCCTACAGATTTACAAGAAAAGGAATATTACCATGCGTATACCAAGGCATTAAATCAAGGTCATTGCTATCATAATTTAATACGAGGCATGTTTATTGGCCCTCCCAATGTGGGTAAATCTTCTGTTAGAAAAGTATTTACTCAACAAGTATTAATCATTAATCAATCTCCTACACAAGTGGTTGAGAATTCTGATTTCATGGTGGAGACTGAATAGTATGGTATTCATAATTGAAAGAATTGTGACTGGACTGAGGTAGTAGACGATAAAGTCAAAACAAGCATCGATAGTCAAGAGAATATCAATCAGCAAATTACCCATGTGCATCCAATACATCGACCCGTTTTAACAGATAACCTACCATTGCCAAATTTACAAAAAGACAATGTGCAATCTCCTATAGTTAGTAATGCTTAAACGATAGAACTATTAATCGATTGTTGCTATTTTTATTCCACTACTTTAGACCGATGGAATGATACCAAAGATGAAGGTAAACCTTGGCACTTTCTATGCTAAATATTGCTCACAAAATTCGATTGCGCTTATTTGGTAATCTTCATCTTCTTATAGCGAATTCACTTCAGATAATGGCTGTTTGTCGCTCATATCTTGGCCAGCATAAAGTGGCTTTTACGATGCTAAATAATGTATTATACATTCGATTAGCACACCTTTCTAAAAATCATGCCCATATTGCAGACACTTATGAGCATATGGGGGATGTTGGTAGCAATAATGGGGACTATCAACAGGCTATTTCTAAATATAACATGTCACTAGATATGAGACATGCAATCTTAAAATTTGTCATTTTTATTCTATGTTATTCCAGGATTCGACTACAAAATCGGATTCTAACTAAATATAAATAATACTATTGTCACAACGTTGTTTGTGGCACAAATAACTAATTTATTCCTAGTGTAACCGCTGTACCGTTAAATACCGTTGCTAATAAGTGTCACTAACTCGACTAGCTCAGTATAAGACCTTATTCAGCAGTGAGTATATCCAGACAACTTCGTAAGTCATCTTTATTCGAACGATAAAATATACTACTAGGTAATGTAATATGAGAACCCATTCTATGATTAAAGACACGCTCTTATATACCTTTGCCAATTTCCATCGGTGTAAATTAATACATAATTCTATTTACAATATACTTGATTTTGTATAAAATATATTTATGATAATTATTATAGAATAAATAGGTGTTCATTAATATTGTGTACTTACCACTCTTACTCCTATTAACAAATCAACTAGACTTGTTACTTAACAATTCACAGTAACAAGTGTGACAATCTCTATTACACATTCTACTCTTATTAGATGATTTAAATCATCAGAGTCGCTAATAGAAATCCATTAACGATTTAACATATCGTCACTCTACTTTAGATAAAAATATGAATAAATATTTTTTTATGTACGGTAATGATGAACCGTAACAACCATCAACAATAAAACTTTTTCTGAGAAAGAAATAATTAATAGAATATCGGATTATAATTGTAATCTATAATAGCAAGAAAGATTACTATTTTCGTTGTGCGACATTCTAAAGTAAAATTGAAAGCACATTTCACGTATCGATACTTTAACTAGGTAAAGTAAGATGCTATTTCTATTATCTATCGAATAATAAAATTGCAAGAATTCAAACTTCCAACAAAAACTATTCATGATTTATTTTGCTTTTTTTCAAACACATTATTTCATTAATTAAAAATAGAGGACCTCATGCTGTAAATACGCTGAAAAATATTATGACAGTTTATGTATGATATTGCCTTTGTAAAATGTAAATGTTACAGATTTTCTTATACATACACCTGTACTAAGAGAAGTGGATAGAAGAAAAGCACATTACAATAGGCAAATTATTGGCGATAGCTAATTCAAATCTGATTATTGACGACAATCGCATACACTTTTTGGCCAAGATTATGCTTATTTGCTGTTTGAATTAATCTATATAATCTGCCAATATCTACTCAATTTTGGTTAAAAGAGAACAAAGAAAAATTAGAAGCACATACGTTCAAAGTTACCAAACCTTGCTATTTCCCTCCTTCCACCAAAACCTCCACATAGTTTCAGGTCTTTGCAGCTTCTTAAGCAAGCAGAATTTACATATAAATTTCGCATTACTGGTAAAATACTGTAGTGATATAAACTATTAATGAATTATTAAGAATCACATTCAATATACCGTACTCAATTTCGATTGAAATATACGGTAATTAATATTACCAACAGCAATGACTTTTCCTGCAAGATCGTTCATTTATTATTATGCTGGATAGATGATTAAAAAATAATGATTTTCTACAATACCAGTAAAAGAATTTTTGAAAGAATTTATTAAAGTTCTGATATAGCATCTTGCAGCTACTATAACAAACAGCACGATTTCTTACTAATTTTATAATGTCAACTGTATCAGCCTAGCAATAACAATTTCAACTTAATCCTACGTAAATTTCGGGGCTGCTCTATGTAAGTGTAATTGCATTACTAATCCCCATTTTAAAAGACCGTTACTTCTATTTAACTGATAGTACCGTTGTAAGCCATCATTTTGATGTTCTCTAGCCTAAAATACTAATTTTCCATGATTAGTTTTACTTCTTCGCAATAATACAGTTAATATAAATGATAAATACACTTGCAATTCCATGAATATGTGATTACGATATTATGATAAATCCTAACCAGAGTCAAGTCATTGGGCTCATGCTATATTTACGCTATATACTATATGCATGCTATCTATGTATAGCATATACATATACTTTGATAATTCAATTTTGCCCTTCCCATACGATTATGGAAAATAAGTTTCCATTTGAAGACACTAGCAGCTATGCAATTAGTGTTAGCTTTATGTAAGTGTTTCTTTAAGCAAGTATAATGAAGGAAGTCGGTGGTAGGCAATGTACGATATAGTAGATTAATGTTGAAGTATATCGACAGTTTATACTCGTCGCTATTTATCATTAGCTTCAATGAATATGTTCTTATTGCTTACTGCTGATTGTTATTGCTTAATAAAAATACGCAACTTAAAATACCGATAATTATATTGCAAAACCACATCATTAATATTACATAACGTGAAGTATTTCTTTATTACCCTTTTCCAATAGCCTATAATCTGCGATTGCAGTTCTAATTTGCAAATTTTCAATTATGCTTTGTAGTCATGAAATAATATTAATTAACTTACGGTTACAGTAGTAGATTACCCTAAAAAAGATAAAAGCTATTTTAATTAGGTGCTAATTGAATATTATTAATTAATCAAGCTAGCAAGTCAGTCATTGAATGTATACTCGTATAATGATAGATTTTAATCGCATCGTTTTCATTATACATATTTAATTTCAGTTACTGATGTTTTCGACATCAATGTGATAACTATGATATTTGAAAATAGGATTGAAAGTTTACGGATTTTAAATGAAATGGTGAATCTACCCTACGGCTTTAACTTGTATGATTTGTGCTATTTGGATTTTGTATGGTGAATTGAGTACGAATCACTTAAATCGTAAATTGAAATAATACAGACCACCTCTTATATGCATGGCATTATATAAGATTAAAAATAAACCTGCAATAAAATAGTCTATCTTAGTATCTTATATAAAATTGACACATTTAATAGAATACTAGTTTATCCTCGTGTAAGTACCGTAAGTGTCATGTGCTATGCAGGTGATTTATACATTAGCTTTAGTTGAATTAGACATCAAGCAATTTTGTATTCATCAATCAATTTAATGATGCAAAATTATTATCCAATCAATGTTAATTCAATCTTTATTGGTAAGCGTGGAAGCTATTGTCATGTTCCTATTCTATTCATGTTCATGCTAATCTTGAACTTATTGTACGTGTAGGCTCAACATTTGAGTCATTTTGATGCTAGTGTTGTGCTAATGATGCGTTTTTTAATTATTATTATAATGATGATTGACATATTAGAAAAACGGATAGAAAGAAGTGTTGACAAGAATGCCTGCCCAATTTAATTTATTTCTTCTCCATCATCCTGATGAATTGTAAGAGAATAATGGATGAATGATTGAAAACCGCGAACAAATAAAGGCGTATCCGATTTGGCTAATTAGAGCACGCTCCTAACAGAAATAGACTTTGTAATGCTGATCTTGGTTTTAAAAAATCGAGCATCCATGATAGTGTGCTCTTTACGTATTTTATCACTCATTTGTACAGCGATCAAAACTGTTAACCCGATCGAGTAGACAAATTGTGACTATTTTTCTCAAATTGTATATTTTGATTGTTGTTGAAAAGTAAAATATGGCCAATCAGACTAGCAATTCTACGATATTTGACGAGATTGAATCTATACGCAAAAAGGGCGTGAAATATCATGGCGAAGGCAATTATGAAGACGCGTTATTTTATTTTCAGAAAGCTGTAACTCAAATCAAATCGATAGCGGAGAGTAGCGATAGTCGTCGTCAACTTGAATATTCTATTTATCTCGCTATGGCTCAATCTTACCTGCAAAAATATCAATTGATAGAAGCCAATGAATACAGTGGAAAAGCAGAAAAGTTAGCTGAGAAACTAGAAGAGGTCAAGATTTCTTATTGTTTCGATATCCAGGGCGACTGTAAACGACTTCAAAGTGATTTTATGGGTGCTTTGAGTGATTACAACAAATCACTTCAAATAAAATTAAAATCGTTAGGGAGTGAACATCTTGATGTCTGTAAGTCCTATCATAACGTTGGCTTGGTCTACCAGAATCAAGGCAAGCATGACGAGGCTTTAAAGGAATACAATAAATCATTAAAGATTAAACTGACACAACTTGGTGATAATCATCCAAGTATTGCTGATACATATAGCAATATTGGTCTTGTCTATGATCGTCAAGGCAAGTATGATGACGCTCTATCAATGTATAACAAGTCACTCAAGATTCGACAAACACAACTTGGCGACAATCATCCAAGTATTGCTACAACATATAACAACATTGGTCTTGTCTATCATCATCAAGGCAAGTATGATGACGCTCTATCAATGTATAACAAGTCACTCAAGATTCGACAAACACAACTTGGCGACAATCATCCAAGTATTGCTACAACATATCACAACATTGCAAGTGTCTATGATAATCAAGGCAAGTATGATGACGCTCTATCAATGTATAACAAGTCACTCAAGATTAATCAAACACAACTTGGCGACAATCATCCAAGTATTGCTACAACATATCACAACATTGCAAGTGTCTATGATAATCAAGGCAAGTATGATGACGCTCTATCAATGTATAACAAGTCACTCAAGATTAAACTGACACAACTTGGCGACAATCATCCAAGTATTGCTGATACATATAACAACATTGCAAATGTCTATCATCGTCAAGGCAAGTATGATGACGCTCTATCAATGTATAACAAGTCACTCAAGATTCGACAAACACAACTTGGCGACAATCATCCAAGTATTGCTACAACATATCACAACATTGCAAGTGTCTATG